AGCAGTAGTATCTGTGTCCAGCTGCTCTTTCGATCTCTGCATCTGCGTTCGGGAGTGGATGCGCATGCTTCTTCGTCACCTCGTTCAAACGTCAAAAATCACAACAAATACGCCAGACTACTTCCATTTTCTTATCTTCGCATTCCATTTCATCTTCGGAGTACCGTCTGCCTTCTTCTTTGGTGCAAGCAGCGCCTGCGAGCACCAAGAACTCTTGCTCTTCCTGATAATCGAGCCGATGTGGGTTGAACAGAACTCGCGCATTGCTTCCTCCTGAGCTGGTGAGTATCGTCTCGGAGCTTGACGGATTGGAGATGAATCGCCTGTATCAATGTGATGCATGACAGTAGCTTTTTCTGCGGTATTCCTGCTTGCTGGATCAAATACGCCGGGAAGTTGTTCATTCCAAGATGCAATAATGTTATGGTATTTGACGTCAACATTGTCCAGCTGTGCAATAACCTCCTCCGATGTCGACATAACACGCTCCTCCGTAGCGAACGAGATTGTCTTACTCTTGTAAGGTACCAGGACTGGTGTACCCGGGTGAGATTTCAGTTGTACAGCTCCGTCCTCAAGGAATGCCAGACCGATCTTGTGAAAGACTGACTTGCCTAGGGTGAGATCTCCAGGGAATGAATCATCGTCGACTACTCCCATAGACACCTCGTATGGCAGTGACCATCCTTTAGGCAACTTCCACGCGAAGCGTACCACAACGTCTCCATCAATTGTTGGTCCAAAACCTCCAATTCCGCTCAGAGTTGATGGCTTGCGAGAACTGTAGGGTTGGAGCCTGGCTGCTAGTTTCCGTGAGATGTAGCTAGCAGGGCTTCCGTAGTCTAGAAAGGTACTGAATGTGTCCAGGGAAGAACACAAACGTGTGCGAAAGACCTCATGTGGCTGATTTGCTCCCTCTCGAAGAGGTCGATCAAGTGGAGCTTTTGGTATCTGCTCGTCCACTGCCACGTAGTGGACGAACTCCGACCTTCATTCTTCCGCTGCATCAGCCTCCATCGCTGTATAGAGCTGCATCAACGTGTCCTCAACCATGTCTTCGTCTCACTGATCCTCCGGTAAATCTTCTTCGTCGTCTGGCGCACCGGTCACGAATGCCGAGCCACCGCGTCCTTTACTGGTGCTCTTGGGCCGGCCGCGAGTTACTACTTTCCTGAACTGATCCCGAAAGCGTTTCCCAAAGGCCTGGTTGTTGCCTTTGTTCTCATGGAACAGTGTTCCCTTGATTGTGACTGGCTCGGAATGACTACCGCCACCGGATCCTTGATTTGACGACTGCTTGCGTGCCCTGCAGTCTTTGGACATGTGTCCCATCTTGCCACAGTTATAGCATTTTACATCGCCACCGCGAGCTGCATATGCACTCTCTTCCTCTCCCTCACGCGTGGTATGCACCGCACGATTGTCCTTTCTGGGGTCGATGATAGTCAGACCGGTATGTGTGGTCTGGGCATCTGGTTGCACAATCTCCGCCTTTCCGGGCGTCGTAGTTGTGGATTCACTAACCTGCAGTTGGTAGTAGGGTGAGGCTTGTCCTTGTAGAGTGACATTGACGCTCGGCCTGGTGTAGATGTGATCCTCCACCTCGAATCGAGAGATGTTGCCTGCGAGCACTATCACCTCCTCGATGAGTTCTGGGTTAGTTAGGATTGAGATACGTGTGAGTAATTGTGCCCATGCTCGAGGCATGTACATTTTCATGATTTCGTGCAGCATATCACGAACATAGTGGGATTCTTGTGACTGCACTAGCAGAGCATAGGATGCTGCCCGAATCCGCCAGGCGAAGTTAAGATAACTTTCCTCCTTGTACGGGGCCATCCTAGCAAACGTTACCACTGGACGTCTGAGTGTACCGTGCCGTTCCATGCACTCAAATATTGCCTCGAGAGCTTGCGTCCAAGTTGCGTTATTAGTTTCGATGTATCGTGACACAGCCTGGAAATCTCCATCTAGCAATGGGGACAGCTTGGATGCCCAGAGCTGGTAAGGGAACGCTGTATCTCCCTCAGCTTTAGGAAGATTTTTGTATCGATTGCAAGGTGCATCTCCCAAGATCGGTCTAACACCACTCTAATCCTGTACGCATCCTCAGGGATTCTATCGTACAATATACCTAGGGCAATGATTTGCTTTCGAAGTTTTACTTCGGGTCAGATCTCTTGTACGTATTTCTCGCCGAGGTTATGTGGACGAGGAGCTTCTTCTTGGGGGACGTGGTGTATATTAATTTTTCCGTCCGGGAGTCTTGCCTTCGCCTTGATCTCTTGCTGTCTCAAGGCTTCTTGGGCCTGCAGAGAAGGAGGTTCGTAGTCGTACTCAGGTTCAGTATTTTTCCTGGGAGTACGGTTGTTAGAAAGATGATCCAGAGCCTGCTTGATCGATGCAAGGCTGCTACCGAGAGCTTCGAGATTGCTGTCGATATTATCGAGTCTATTGTCAATGTCTTTGAACCTCTTTTCTACAGTGCCCGACATGATAATTTTCGACGACGGTGATGCCGACGAGCCAGTTTCGCCTTCCTTAGCCGTTAGATCGGATGAAAGAGATCTATTGGATGATGAATGGTTTGTAGAAGGATGGGGACGGGATGGATATTCTCGGTCGGGAATGAGGGTAGAATTCAAGAAAAACGAGTTTGAATGTAAAGGGATTTCCTGACAAAAATAATTATTTTTGTGGCTCCTAGTCTGATGTCTTCTAGCACAAAAGGGACGTGATAACATCCGCGACTGTACTGGTAAGGTATTCAGACTACTAGAGCGTATTCTCTAAGGTTTTACAATACAAAAGATATGTGGTGTGTGTGTCCGAGCGTCGCAAGTGAGCGGTGTGTAACCTCATGGAACCTCAGACACACCTTGTCATTTAACAGTTATTGTTAAGGTCTAGCTTCGGTTATCTCACTGATTATCGAGCCGGCAGCATATCAAGAAGGCATGTAGCACAGGTGGAAGTATCGCGCGGTAAACTATATCTGAAGCTGCTATGTATTGTAGTTGCTAAAAGAATACTGCAATTCGGAAACTACAGCTCCATCCCTGAATCATGAGATAAATCAGGCTATGCACGCTAGATATAGAATGGTTAGCGGATATGGTGAATATGGGGGTAAATACGTAGATATATAAAGATATTTTTTTTGAATCATTTAATGTGTATTCAGCTATCTAGCTATGACACATGACCGGTGCTATGTATACATGTGGGATGACTCTTTTGACGTTAGAGACACTCACACTCTGGATTTCATTCGCAAATACCACTATGAGGTATGTTCGCTTACACAAACAGTCGACCCTCCTCCGTTAGTACTCACCAAAGGGAATTTCAAAACATTTGGTTATCCAAGCATGCCTTCGTCATCCATGCATATCAGCGCCGCGATAAAAGTGGTTGTGTTTTGCTGGATTCGAACCAGCGATCTACTGTCTCAAGTGGGATATGTGTCCAAGCTATCCAGACTCTACTTGGCAGATCGGCCAAGACGATGTACCACCGCACCATCCAACCATGGCGGTGTTTATAGTGTCGCCTGCACTCTCGCAACTGAGGTCTTGGCGCGCACAAAGCTCAATTTGTAAAAACTCCTTTCCAAAATTCAAAATTCCACGCCCGTCGAGACCATATCCATCTTTCGCATCATCTTGTTAACTTGTCCTGAATTCTCTCACGTCCATCCCAAAGAACTGTCTCCCAGATTTGTGCGCCACGCTTTGCTTCCTCCGTCGAGTATAAATATCGGCGTGGGCGTGTATCTGGCGACCAGCTAAGGCCAAAGAAAATCGAAGAGAAGTGTGGTCATTGGAATGAGGATGTACTAGGTCGTACTTGTAGACTTGATGAGGCTTAGGTAGGAATCGATTTCGTTGGGAGTGAAATATTGATATGGTGGAGTATTTTGAATTATTGCCTCGTGGGCCACCTTGTTCGGTATTGCGAAATTTGACTGAACTTGGCTCTGGGAGAATATTTCACTCCCAGGTTCGTAGAGGACACCGCGTACAGGTGTTCAGTCTTGCCCTCCACCTCAGACTTCACCTATGTGTTGAATCATACCAAGCCTAATCGTCCAGAAACCCGCTGTATACACGCCGTAGCGCGATTTCCTCCTCAGCCGCGGCCACCACGAGCCCGAGCCTTTGACATCCTCATTGACTCCGAAATATAAATGCCATCCAAGATCTCATCTTTGCTCTAGCCTTGCACCTTCATATCGTACCGTCGGGTTGTTTTCGTCATTGGGGACTTGTGTAATCCCCTCGGTGTATCTTCCCTCTTCTTCCTCCTTTGTACACGTCCCGTTTCCATCATGACTTTCCTCATTAGGGCGTGTGTAGGTAGGTGATCGGACGGGTATGGAGGTAGGTCGCAGGTGTAGGATCGATTGAGAAATGCTTCGTCGCAAGTGTAAAAGGAGTTTAAGAGATATCGGATGTTTGAATATGACCCACAGGTAGGCCTAGGCCCATTCGTGAATCGTATGTTGGTGGTGATGACTTTTTGTTCGACGTTGTTCCGGCTGTGAAATCTCTGCCGACTGATTTATCGACCAAAATATCGAGTGCAACTCCTTCAAGTCGAGAATCCATCAACGAAAATTCATCCCACCCATTTTCGTGACTGAATCTCGGCTCTGAGAGAATATTTCACTCCCAGGTTCGTAGAGGACACCACTGACAGGTGTTCAGCCTTCGTCCTCCTAGTAGGGCTAGTGTTAGGCTTGTCTGTAAATTCACTAATCCAAGAAATACTAACAGTCGTCCCTTTGAACAAATGTGAAATCATAAGAGAAAGTGACATCTTCATATCTCTACGAATGTATAAGACAGCCAACTTGAAGTAAATATATGCTCCGATAATCAGATTCCTTTTATCCTGAACTATTTGCTATCCGGTTTTACAAATATGCTAAATTTCAATTCATCAAACTAGTTTCATAACCCTCTTTCGAAGATTCTTGAGTATTTCTGGTCACAGAGATGTCCTCAGAATGGGGGTCCAAAGATAAACCTGATATATCTGACTCATATTGTAGGGTTTGTAATATTGAGTTTGAGTCCTGGGACGGCCTTAAGAGCCACATGTTGAGCAGCGCGGCTCATATCAATTGCTGTGACATTTGCCTTATTGAATTTAATCATTATGGCTCATTCAAGAAACATCGGGAATCAGTACGAGAAGAGCTCCGATTTACTGCATACATTTAACTGATTCAAATCGAGATGCACAACTCCAAGCAAAATCTACATTGCCATGCATGCGATAGAAACTTCACGCGACTCGGAAGCCTGGTAGGTCACCTCGAGCTATCTGAGTGTAAATTGAGGACTAGTGATCAACTAGCTGCGATACGTAACCAGAAAAAGCTAGTGTACCAGAGACAAATCGCGGCTCGCAACTACAAGGACTTTAATCGTAGTGCTGTGTCTGATATTTTTGGCAAGGAGCCATTACCTGTGCTCTACCAGGACAATTCACTCTTCAATATTACAGCCAAGCAGGATCACTCTCTTCCTCTAAACCACGAGCATAATGAGAAACTCACCGGTAGAGATTCCATAGAAAGTGGTGAAATTGAAATAAAACCGCATTTAGTCCAAAAATCTAGTAATATTTTAGATCCGAGCTGTGCTGGATTTCATGCGGAAAAATACTACATAAAATTGTTAAGGAAATACAAATGCCCTCACCATAATTGCCGGTAAGCAATTTAAGTAGAATAGACAAACTAGCTTTAACAGCCAGGCAGCAAGAGTTTTGAAGCGAAATCTTCGTTCATTCAACATATGAGGTCACCGGCTCACATTGACGAAAACCTTCAGTGTGAAAGCTGCCTGCGGTTCTTTGCTACCGCAACTGCTCTTACTCAACACTGTGAGGCAAACACAAACCGATGTATGATTCAGTCATCGCCAAATTACCTTCAATTCGTTGATATGATTACATCGGGAGTCGCTCGTCCTGCTGGGAGGCTTGAAGATAAGACAATTGCATACTCCACGATGCCGCCTGATTTTTAATTTAATTATTTTACACCTAAAACTTTGAATGATTGGCGTTGTTTCAGCCTGAAGTTCTTCAATCTAGTGGCGCATTGTTGATAGGTACGTCATAGTCGAGTAAAAAATGTATTTGATTTTTAACATACACTGAAATCCTTTCCATGTAGGGGAACGAAGTGTTGGAAAATACTCATTGGTATTAAGCGGAAACTCGCTCGAAGAATATAGGCACAACTTCAAAGCAATTTGTGATAGTTAAATCAAATAAAATTTTCTCGTAAATCTGTATTATTTGAATTTGAATTTGATTTCAATTAACCCGATCAGGCACCCTATGGGTCCATGCAGGTGACTATCAGCATTATTTACAAAGGAGGAAACCAATTTGGTGAAAACCCCCTGATCCTGTCTCTTTATGTTCCTATCAATTTATTTGGTTTACCTTCAGGAAGTGCAGTGTACACTGTTCAGCCCGTGTGGATTCCGTCCTCTCCCCTTCCAGATCTATTTACTTTATCCGATATTGCTACCTCGACTTCTCCTGCAAGTCGAAACTGTTTTATCCACCCTTTGTTTAGTATCCACTGTGTAATTCTAGCCATATCTTCTGGGCTGTTCATCATTGCTTCAAATGACCTGTCTCTAGCTTGTCGGAGAAAGCCACATCTCCCATTTGCCCACTGCGGACACGCCAACACCATATGCTTGAATTTTTGCGACGGATATCCACATTAACAGCTTGGCTTTTCTACTCTGGGTACTTTTCTTCTGCTCAGGCAAGAATTGAGTCCGATATGCTCGCTCCTTAGCTGAATGGCGACACTGCTTTGGGCCCTGGTTAGATTACAGTGGATTCTTAAGGGTGTATCTTTGAAGTTCATTTTGGCGCTGCCTGTTTGTTTATCAGTAAATATATTTGCCGCTTTCCAATGTTCTGGATCGGCTGATGCTAGTCGGCCAGGACGGTGTTTCCTGATCTGGCTTGTCCATGAATCCTTCCACTCCTGAAAGGCCGCTATCTTTCCAGCTTCTTTCTGCCTTCTCTTATCCTTTTCCCTTCCGCAAGTTTTTGTCCATTCGGCGATATCTTTACTCCTGGTCAATGCATGCGGAGTTTCTCTCCCGTTTGCGGGCAGCTTTATCTTCTTACATATCGATCGGATTGTCTCTTGAAATGGGAGTTTATCTGATAGTCCGGCGTGCTGGACCCTCCTTTGTTTCAGGTATATCTCTATTGGGAGGACAGACGATTCGTGCTCTAGCACTCTACTGCTAGTAGAATTGTAGGCACCTGCAACAAGCTTTAAGCAATTTCTTTGAATACTTCTGAGGGGTTTCACTATACTTTAAGGTATCTTTCCTGTTGGCCCGGCCTCAGCCCATATCGAGGACCCATACGTAAGGGCCGGTCTCACTATCGAGCTGTATAGCAGCTTGGACTTCACGAATGTCGCTCCCCAAGTTGATTGTGTCAGTCTACTAATTGATTGCACTTGAGTGCAAAATCTATATTATTATTTTTGTTGACGACATTTGAATATTACATCAGCGTTTCTATAGTTTACTGGAATAAATTTCAGACTAATGTATCTGCGCCCCAAGTCATTTTCAATCAAGCTCGCTGATTATCACCCTCAGTAGTATAGGTCCAGACTGAGCAGATTGTGTAAAAATTCAACGAATGTTTAGCCCCTATCAATTGTGTCCCCTACGAACCTCCAGCTCTTGCTACAGAGTCTGCAGAGCCGAGATTGAGCAACAAAGTCCTCACTTCGATGAGGATTCCCAATTGATTTTGCAGTCTCTATCGTCTTCATCTCTCAACACATTCCCCTATCACCACTATCAAAAAGCTATCCACCATTAGATTAGATGGTAGGGACGGAGCCCTTCTCATCACCAACCCTTGATCATAGAGGAAAATCCATCCGATGAGTTTCCGGAGCGTACCCAGCACCCGATACGGAGATGGTGGATTGGATCAAGTCGGCCTCGATTGTTACAAAGAAGGGAGACATAGATGAATATGCGCACCTCATGTAGTCCCGTTGTCTAGGCCTCGCCTGGCTGGGGTAGCAGGTTTTTCGAGACTTTTTCCCGCGCACGCAGTTTCCATTGCTACCATTTTTATCTTTTTTGGGTAGAAGGTTCCGTGGACAAGGTGGAGGAATTCCACGGGTAAACACTGAGCTGAATGGCTAACCATCAAGGAGAATATATCAATGATCTTTCAAGTAACAAAAGAGGATAGGAGCACCTTGCAAGGTGTGGCCTAAGTCACATAGGAGCCCAATGTGATAGTATGTATGTGTTTGTGTCTATTGTACTACTTGAGTCTATGACTGTCTAGCACATTGGGCTCCTATGTGACTTAGGCCACACCTTGCAAGGTGCTCCTATCCTCTTTTGTTACTTGAAAGATCATTGATATATTCTCCTTGATGGTTAGCCATTCAGCTCAGTGTTTACCCGTGGAATTCCTCCACCTTGTCCACGGAACCTTCTACCCAAAAAAGATAAAAATGGTAGCAATGGAAACTGCGTGCGCGGGAAAAAGTCTCGAAAAACCTGCTACCCCAGCCAGGCGAGGCCTAGACAACGGGACTACATGAGGTGCGCATATTCATCTATGTCTCCCTTCTTTGTAACAATCGAGGCCGACTTGATCCAATCCACCATCTCCGTATCGGGTGCTGGGTACGCTCCGGAAACTCATCGGATGGATTTTCCTCTATGATCAAGGGTTGGTGATGAGAAGGGCTCCGTCCCTACCATCTAATCTAATGGTGGATAGCTTTTTGATAGTGGTGATAGGGGAATGTGTTGAGAGATGAAGACGATAGAGACTGCAAAATCAATTGGGAATCCTCATCGAAGTGAGGACTTTGTTGCTCAATCTCGGCTCTGCAGACTCTGTAGCAAGAACTGGGGGTTCGTAGGAGACACCGCTGACAAGTGTTGAGAATAGTCCCCCCCAATGTGATAGTGTTATAGCATAAAAGCATGAAGATTGTATAAAGGTTACTAATTAGGAATATGTACAAGTTATCATTTGATTATTAGTAATTCTTCACTGCAGATAGATAGTCTATGAGTCAAGTAGTACCACATTCACACCTCAATATATCTGGGAGACAGTTCTTTGGGATGGACGCGAGATGGATCAGGATAAATTGGTAAGATGCTACAGGAAATGAATACAATATCGATGGGCGCGAAATTTTGAATTTTGTCAAGGAGATTTTTACAAATTGAGCTTTGTGCGTTCCAAGGCTTCGGTTGCGAGAGTGCAGGCGACACTATAAACACCGCCATGGTTGGATGGTGCAGCGGTACATCATCTTGGCCGGTCTGCCAAGTAGAGTCTTGTTCGGATTAGGTCCTGGTCAACAATGTCTAGCCTAATTGTGCTACGTTGCAGGCTACTGTTCCAATTATTCATGGGGTCATCATCAGGGTTGTGAATAGTTTCGGTTCGGTTTGGGTTTTTAGATTGATACCTGAGCGTGTCGCATTGCAGTCAGAAATGCTACTCGAGTAGCACATGCACGGTAAACCTCAACCCCAAAATGATGATACGAATCAGGCTTTACATGCTACGTCCTGTATGGCTAGCGTGGTTGGAATATGGTGAATTTACCTGTAGATAGATAAAGACGTTGTAGCCCTCTGATAATTGGGACAAGTCTTCTACAATATTATATCGGAATCAAATCGAGCCACTCATTAAGCAATCTCATGAATTATTTCCAATGTCTGTGATAACAGACATACACATACAATGTTGACACCAACTTTAAAGTCGATAAAGTCTGGATAGCTTAGACACATATCCCACTCGAGACAGTAGATTGCTGGTTCAAGTCCAGCAAAACACAACCACATTTCTCGCGGCGCTGGCATGCCTGGATGACCAAAGGTTTCAAAATACACTTTGGTGAGTACTTACGGAGGAGGGACGACTGTTTGTGTAAGCAAACATATCTCGTAGTGGTATTTGCAAATGAAATCCAGAGTATGAGTGTCTCTAACGTCAAAAGAGTCATCCCACAGTATACATAACACCGGTCATATGTCATAGCTGTATAGCTGCATGCACATTAAATAGTTTAAAAAGATAAAAATTAAATTTTCTGCAAAAAAAGAGTCCATTGTAGCACTTTAATATCTAATCCCACCCCTTATCATGCCCTTGAGCATCATCACTAGTCTGACATGTCTGCACGTAGATCGTGCTTTCGCTTTTAGACTGGATTCAGGCTTGTGCTTACTTAATTCTGCTCACACAATATGTATTATTTGTTTACTGCAATCATGTTGCTGACTTAATTACATGAGTAACTTGCAGGTAAGATGACAAAATTACGAGATGATAAGACTATTCGGAGTCTACGAAGATTACAAGTTACGAAGCTGGAGAGCTAATCTGTGTTGGCACCAGCTTCCTTGAGTACACCAACTCAATGCAACACAATCCAACACATACAAAAGTAAGATCTAGTCATGACTCCAAGCCATCTCACTCTAACTGTTTGAGGTTTCTCGAGAACCCTCTCCTTGGACCTTATCCGAGCCTTCGATATCAGAATTACTTGCCATGACATTTCTCTTTAAGCACGATTTAAAAACGTCTCGTCATGACAGGTAATTATTCCTTGCTCAATGAATTTACATGTCAATTATCATTTACCTATGCAAAACCTGTAAAGTATCAGTGGCTGCTTCTTGCAATGGATATTTCGGAATTTACTTATCAAAGATTATTCCAAGTATCTCTTCAGTGTCTGCTGCTTCTCCTCTTCCTGTAATTCTTGCTAGGTAGGTTGCAGCGAGCCTGAGATTTTCAGCTGCAAGAACAATATCAGTTTCGTTTTTGAAGTTTTGGAGGTGGGTGCGGCAAGAAGAAAGAAGGAGCTGTTGGCGTTCAGTAACACCTATGAGATCTCTCATATCTATCGGCATGTCGGTCATTTCTTTGAATAGACAAGCTATCCTCGATATCAGATATGGAATATTCCCCTGATCATTCTCAAGATTTTGTGTCTTAGTATCAAGGATATGGCAAGACACCGGTATAATCTCTGGAGGCGTATTTGGAAAATATTCTTTTGCTACTCTGGATTTGAAATTATCTAGGAGTGTTTTGAGATGATCCGAGCAGATGGCTAGATCACATTTATTGACAATGATCAGGGAATATTTAGTATTTTTTAATAGACCCAATGAATTCATATCAACCTCTATAAAGTAATGGTTTGAGGATTCATTGAACTCCAATGAGGACATTAAGATTACTATATCTGACTCGCTAGCTTTTAGTTTTGCTCTTCGGATTCCCTCTTCTTCGATTTTGCCTATTATGGGATTCCATGTGTTTTGAGTTGTGCCACTTCTCAAGCCTGCAGTATCTGCGATGGTGCATAGGTAGCCATGAATCTCAAGACTCATTTCAACTATGTCCCGAGTGGTTCCTGCTTCTTGACTTACAATAGATGCTTCTCTCTTAACAATCCTATTAAGGAGTGAGCTTTTCCCTGTATTAGGTGGACCAAGTAGTGATATTTTAATTCCTTTTCTAAGTAGTTCTCCGCAGTGACTTGCGGCCTCGTGTTTAAAAGTTTCACACACAATCTCGTTAACACGCCGGGTAACATTTGCCAGTAGCTCAGTCGACGAAACATCAAAATGCTGGTCTTCGGAAAAATCAATCAAGGCTTCTATCTCCCCACGTGCATGCAGCAGTTTTTCTCGCCATGAATCATATAATTTTCCTAGCTTGTTCGAATCTGCACGCACTGCAGCGCGTCTTTGCTGTTCTGTTTCAGCAGATAGCATATCAGAGAGGGCTTCAACCTGCGCTAGGTCAATCTTATTATTATAAAATGCTCTTCGGGTGAACTCTCCTGGCTCTGCATAACGAATAGAATTCATGGTTGACGCACACTTTGAAATAGATGATAAGACTGCTTTCTGAGTTGCTGGTCCTCCATGAATATGGAATTCAAGGACATCTTCTCCAGTCACTGACTTGGGTGCCGGAAAATGAAGAACAAGTGCAGTATTATCTAGTATAATTTTACGGTTAAGAGGATCGTAAAGTTTGCGAATCACAGCTTGGCGGGGCCTTGGGAGTAAAGTTGCAGGACAGAGACTGTTATATATCTCCAGTACATGTTAGGCTAGTTTTTAGGTTCTGTGTCTCTGCTTACCAGAAGTGAATGTGGTCCAGAGATTCGAATAGTAGCAATAGCAGCTCTTCCAGGTGCAGTGGAGAGGGCATATATTGTCTCACTTGATTTATATAGATCGATTTCTATATCGGAACTGCATGCTCTAGTTTTCATTGAAAAATATCTAGTTAAAATAAAAAGCTGTATGCCGTTCCTTCCTGCACTCCTGCTCTTAACGCTAGCAATCTTGTGAAAATATCTCGAGAAGCATGATACTGCTATTCTAGATGAAATTTTCATATTGCTTAGTTATCCTGCGTGTGACATTTGTTTACCATATAATTTTTGCGTAGATTCTTTTTCGGCAATTTCGAGAGATAGGTGTTGCAGTACGTTGAAATGGGGATCAGACTCGTAACAATGATAGCACAGATCGGTAAAATGCTGTTCGGCATGAATAAATAATTAATGTCTGGGGTTAAACAATTATGCGAACCACAGTTAATAACCGAATCATCTCGGAATATTACTTTCGGCCACAAGAGACACCGTAGGAGGATAGGCACCGAACAAATGTCTGCACTATCCTCTGCGACCATGGAGTCAAGAACTATTTCAAAGCCAAGTTCAGTCAAGTTTCGCAATGCGATAGAAGTCGGCCCATGGGGCAATTATCCAAAACTATCCAACATATCAATCTCTCACTCCCAACAAGATCGCTTCCATCCAAAACCCAATAAATTTTACAATCAAGACTTGGTATATCCCAATTTTAATGGCCACACCTATCATCAAATCAGTCTCTGGTTTGAAATAGCCTCCAAATACACGGCCATGCCGATTTTTACACACGTCGGAAGAAACAAAACGTGGTGCACAAATCTGGGAGAAAGTTCTTTGAGGTAAATGTGAGAGAGATCAAGATAAGATTAAAAGAAAAGGCAGAGGATGTAGGGGATGGGTACAATCTTGACGGGCGTGTAATTTTGAATTCTGGCAAGGAGTTTCACTAATTGAGCTTTTTGCGCGCCAAGATTACGGCTGGGGAAGCGTAGCTGACACCTTAGACACAAGCCAACCATGAGAGGAGCTGTCGTCCGCCTCTTGGCAGTGTTGGGCGGTATAGTTTGTATAGCCTGGGCACCTACTCCACTTGGGTAGAGGTGCCTCAGACATCATGTCGCGTAGAAAAAATTGAGTGTATGCTGAAGGCATGTCTGGATAACTCAGGGTTTTTGAGACGCTTCCTTGGGTGGGTATTCACGGATGAGGGTTGAATTGGGGTGAAGAAAAAGCCACCATAAATTTTTGTTGGAAATCGCGACTTAGTATGTATGAAGGTCTAAATTTCTAGGTATGATCATCAAGATCAACTGAATTGATTCATTTGCATATGATTAAGCTTAGCTAGGAGTGCAGGCGACACTATAGACACCGCCATGGTTGGATGGTGCGGTGGTACATCGTCTTGGCCGATCTGCCAAGTAGAGTCTGGATAGCTTGGACACATATCCCACATGAGACAGTAGATCGCTGGTTCAAGTCCAGCAAAACTCAACCACATTTCTCGCGGCGCTGGCATGCATGGATGGCAAAGGCATGCCTGGATGACCAAAGGTTTCAAAATACACTTTGGTGAGTACTTACGGAGGAGGGACGACTTTTTGTGTAAGCAAACATACCTCGTAGTGGTATTTGCAAATGAAATCCATAGTATGAGTGTCTCTAATGTCAAAATAGTCATCCCACAGTATACATAGCACCGGTCATATGTCATAGCTAGATAGCTGAATACACATTAAATGATTTAAAAAAAAGCTTAGCTAGGGGACATGAAGTTCAGTGGTATTCGAAATGCAGTGGCTAGATTATGCTATTTTGCGATAATTGGGTAGCTGGTTGTTGCCAGATCGCTGAAAGCACGGAATCACTAAAGCCTTGGGAATCTGTATTGAAGGATAGACTTATTTGCATGTGTTTAAATTTGAAGACAAAATATTCCAAGATTGATTGATTGATTTCTTAAGGTGCCAGGCAGCAGCCCCGCGCCTTGTAGCTCGGGACTGGTGGGCTCGGTAAGGATCATCCTAAATAGCTATGCCCTACTCGTTTCCGCCACACTGACACTATGCGACTCTGATTACAACAACCAAAACCCAAAAGAAACAACAACCAAACATAACTGAAACAAATCAAACTAACATGTAGGAGCGGCGCTAGTATATGTCATCCTATGTCTCCCAATAATCATTTCTCTCTTCCTGACAAAATAACCACTCCGGCCCTCGCATCCAGCTGAGGGCGGGTCTGCATCCATGCTCCCAAAGCAGCGGATAATCCTTGCAAATTCTATGAACTTCACGAGACCTTCCAGTTCAAGGAGTTGGTTGGTATAATCCTTAACGTTCATGAATCTTCTCAACATACTCATTATAGCAGCATTCTTCAGGTATCGGACAAAGTGAGTTGGCGTATTATATGTTTGATTTGATTTCATTATCCTGATATAGCGCCCAATGGGCCCATGCAGGTATCTACAGTCTATAATATTTACGCGGGAGGAAACTTTTATGGTGAAAACCTCCCACACCTTTCTACTTGTTGTTTATAGTTTTCACATATTTTCTTCGGGAAGCGCAGTTACACTATAGTGCCATCCATGTAAACTAACCAGATCATCTCTATCCGCCCCAAGCATTATTTGACCTTTTCCTTTCCATCAGCAGTATTTCGACCGCTTTAGTCATCTGGAATTGCTCTATCCAACCATGGTTTAGGATCCACTGTGTTATCCTTTTTATATCTCCAGGATTGTTTGTCATCGCTTCGTAGGACCGATCTTTGGCTTTTCTCCAGATCTCAACTCTACTATTTGAACATCGGGAGTAGGACATAATCATATGTTTGGGGTTCTGTGATTGGTAGCCGCATGGACAACCTAGACTTAACACTTCGGGTACTTTTCTTCTGTGTAAATACGAGTTAAGCCCCATGTGCTCACTTCGTATTTGCATTGCCAAACTGCTTTGAGCCCATGTCAGGTTACGATATAGGAAGAATGGTGAGCCTTCAAAACTCAGTTTTTGCCGTCCAGACTCTCTACTTTGATAAAATGTGGCTGCTCTCCAAGTTTCTAAATCTGCAGTTGCTAACTGCCGGGTTTATTTATTATTATTTAACGTTGTGCTAGGTCACAAAACAACCACAATTTTTTCCAAATTCGAATTTTCGAATATTCACTTTTCCCCCCTCTCCCTCCCTCTCGCGCTCGTCGCACTCTATCAAATAATTGTGATCGAGTCACTGGCATCTTCATCATGCCACCTGTTCGAAAAAAGCGTCCCAACGCCAAGTTGAACAACACGAGAGTCCACCCGAGGGCTCTCGAAAAACTACCCGGCCTTGCCCAGTCTCCGAAATGCGCGGAGATGAGCAAGGTCTCTACTAAAGGGAAGGAAAAAGCCCTCCCCGCCGTCACTGAGCCCGATACTGACATGGTCGGGTCAGTTGAAATTGTTGAGAAAATCCCTCAACCACCCTCCGTCCCCCATGGGATTGGAGAATCGTCAAAATCTCCTCCGACCGCGCCAAAACTGTCGGAGAACGCTGCGCCCATAGCAGCGTCAAAATCAACGTCGCAGCCCAAAGCTGCCACGAAAGCAGATTGCCCTCCGGAACTTCGACCAATTGTCGAAGCCGAACAACGACGCGCCGCCGAAACAGCGGCAAATCTGGCCCTCTGTTCCGCCGCCATCTCTGGCATCGAAGCCACACTCCTCCCTTTGACCAACGGGTCAAATAGACAATTCGTATACTCGATGAGAGTCTACCTACGCTCCGCAATTGCGCAATAAGTGGCCACGGGCCTGGCCATCACGCCACCCGTCCTCCCTCCTCGCTGTCAGGGGAAGGTCATGAAGTAGATTGACGAGGTCTAATCTAGTGATTGAGATTGTCTACAAAGAAGAATGAAGACTCCTATTGAGTCTTGTAAAAATATATACATCGTGAATTGCGTATCAGACGCGCTATATCACGTGACAGTAACTTCCCTCAATTCGCTCTATCCCTTGACACTCGCTCGGCGAACCCAACCCCAAGGGCTCCCGAAGCCAGGAGTAACACAACTCCCGCCGTCCCAGTCCTGCCTGTCAAAAGCATCTGGGCCACGGTGGCCAGAAACAGACTGTGACAAAAAGCAGTCCCAACTGCAAAGGCTATGCCGCGACCTGCGGCCAAAGCCCAACAAAAAGAAACCCCTAAGGCGAAAGTCGACAAGCGACTGTTCCTTTGCGTTGAAGAGGACCACCCGTATGTTGTGATATGACTGTCAGAGCCGCTATGGACCATCCCTGTCTATCTACAGAGATAAAGCATATCCATGTACTAGTGCAGTATGCAGGGTCCATGTGGTCCCTGCACGACCGTTATTACAATCAACACTGTCACGGTTTTAGTACAAAACGCTTGGGCGATCTTGTGAGTACAGTATATTAATTATAATTCTCTAGAGAGAGATTTCCTATAGCTAGAATACAAATATATATACTCTGAGATACTCCTCTTCTGTAAGGTTCTCCCTATATCTAGAATAACATGGACTCCTCGACAATACCCTAGAAGATTCTTGATACACCTGTTGTCCTCATGAACCTTCAGTATGCTTCCAGAAGGTTCATTGAGAATCTTCTAAGCTCCTTGTATTTCGAGATCCTTCCCGAAGATTCCCTTGCATTCATTGCCTGCGCTAGCCAGCGTGGGCTACAGGAATCCCTAGGCTTAACAGCAGTTACAAACACCAAGAGCTTTGTGTTACTAGTACAACATGTTTGAGAATGGAATGGAATGTGACTATGGAACATTCTGGTTATATGATTATGGACTGTATCATGGGTGTACAGCATGTATATATATCAGTCCTGTCTACCTCGGTAGCACCATCGATTGTATTAATTAAGTTATTCATATCTTCAGTCTCTGATTATCATCCTCTGCTCTTCTCTGTTATCCCTAGCTTATTCATCATCCTATTTCTACTCATAACCTAAGAGCAACAGCATCTACTAACTATTAGCAGGATACCAGCTGGATAAAAGGTGCCTGCTAACCCATCTTTCGCTCTCAGCAGAGAAGGGGCAAATTTTTCATCAAGGAGTGACAGACCAGGGAATGTGTGAGGAGCGCGTTGCTTGGGTCCAATATAGAGGAATCTTCTGGTTTTCGGAGTTGTTTTGATACTCTTGATTTATCGTTTCTGTTTAATCAGCTGCATTTTTGGTAGCGAGTCACGCAGTTGGGCC